GGCGAAGCTCTTTGCGGCAGACATCCGCACTTTCGGTAGTTAGCGTACAGCGTCGCTGACCAACCCGACCGCATCAGCGATGCGAAGTTTGAAGAACTCCTCAAGAAGGTCTTCAAGGCGACAGAGCCGTCTTTGGGCACTAAGGCCGCAGCGCGGCGCCTGGCCTTCGAAAGCCTGACCTTCAGTATCCAGGATCTGAAGATGAGGGTAGAGGGTGACAGCGTCACCCCCATGCAAGAGCCTGCCCATGCACGAGCGCGAGGAGCGCCGCGCCGCGCAAGTCGCGCGCCTCCGGGGCGTCGTCATCGAAGGTGACTACGACCCCGCGCACAGCCTCGTGGACAAAGCCGCGCTCATGCTGCAGGACGGCATCGTTCGTTACATCCCACCGTCGCAGTGCGTCAGTCGGGATGCCGAGATCGCCTCAGTGAGGCGTGACAAGGACTTCCTCTCCCTAGAGTCTGGGGAGATCACAGTAACGAAAAAGGAGCACAGCGTGCACGTCGAGATCGGCAATGAGCTAAAGCTCACGCAGGCGCTCATGCGCAGGGGCCTCGCGCTCGACAGAGTCGGCGTGTTGGATTTCACGATTCACGAGAGACTCGTGCGACAGTTCTTCTCCGTCCTGAACCGGCCAGCGCCGCCGGGGATGGAGCGCGGCAACAGTTGGCACGTAGTACGCGCCGACAAAGAACTGTGGACGCTGCTCGCGCGAGAGTGTCGCAAGGGTTGCAAACCGGACAAGGATGGTAAGAGGCCACTAGATTCTCTAGTAGAGAACATGTGGTCCGATCCTATCGTTACGCTGCACCTCCTCCCCTCGCCAGTGGCAGACCGGGGTCGCAAGGGCAAGGGCCGCAGCTTTACGCGCAGCGAAGAAGACCGCAGTCGTAGCACGACCGGCAAAGGCAAGCAAGGCGGCAAGAAAGGCCGCGGAAAGGGCAAGGGTAAACGGCACGAGAGCGCAGAGCGCTCCAGGCCGCCGAGCATGCCAAAGGAGCTTCGCCACTTGAACAGCGTTTCCAAGTCGGGCAAGCGCTTGTGTTACGGTTTCAACCTGCAGTGCGGGTGCGACCTTGAGACCTCCGGCTCCCCCAAGCAGTGCGACAGGGGGTTGCATCAGTGCATGAGCTGTGGCAGCTCCGAACACGGAGCCGCAGATTGCCCCAAGGACGCAGGGGCCGCCTGACTAGGCCCCCCTGCCCTGAGCGCGGCAGAGCCGCAACAGCCCTTGGCCACTGAGCCCGCAGCTCCTCGCCCAGCAGCGCTGGGCCCTCCTGCCACCGCGGCACGCGCAGGGCAGAGCCCTGACCCTTCTACCGCGGCACTGTCGTTGTACCCGCCTGCAACAAGTGCCACAGCAGCGCCGTCACCTGAAGCAGGGTTCGCGGCAGACGCCGAATTCCCAGCGCTCCTGTTGTCTGAACAGCACAGCGTGCCGGCAGACAATGCTCTGGGCACTTTTCCCCCTGAGCCTGCTCCGCGAGCGGCCCCCCGTCCGCCACTGTTCGTGGAAGTTTTCTGCGGCCTCGGTCGCCTTAGTAAGGCGGCCATCGAGAAAGGTTTCTCGAACGTCGCAGTGGATCACAAGACCAAGGCCAGAGGCCTCAAGGTCTTGCAGCTCGACCTTTGTACGCAGCTAGGTCGCAACTTACTGAGAGCAGTGCTCTCACACCAAGACTTGCGATGGGTCCACTGGGCCCCGCCGTGCGGCACTTTTAGCAGAAAGCTTCTCGGCTCTAGCGTTGTTTTCTGTGAGTGTGGGTGGGGTAGTTGTGGGCTCCGGCTGTCCGGTGTCCCGCGGTAGCTAGAGGGGCGGCTGGGGGTAACTAAAGCCATCGGGTGCGTGCAGCTCTCTGACTTTTCTGCGCTTGGTGAACCTTTTTCGCGTGGTTTTTCCACAGGCTTTTGTTGGCGATTTTTGCAGATTGGTTGTGAATTTGGAAACTGGTCAGTGGCCTGCTTTTTGTGCAAGCCCACAGCACTTGCAATATTTCACTGCCCACTGTATTTCTTTCGCCTGCACTGCATATTCGCGCAGTAGCACTTGATTTGCTGGTCGAAGAGCTGTCTACATCTGCGATTTCGGCACATATTCGGCAGCTGGCATACAACATTTGGCTTGACATTCCGGCCACTACTGTATTACTGTGGGCTATTGAAGTGCTCCCCGCACACGCGGCCCTACAGCTCGAAGGCTGGACTGCAGTGCATTACCCACAGATTTATCTTGCTGTCCGTGAACTTCTCTGAGCCATGACACGTGCCTTTACAAGGATTCTGCCCACTTTTGGGCTGATTGTTATCTGTGCTCTGATTGGCGCAGTACACGCAAGCCCGAAGAGGCATCGCTCAGAGCGCTCTGAGCATCGGCCAGCAGCAGATCCGACTCAGGAGATGGGGCCATTCCAACAGCTGGAAGTCATTGGTGTCGGACAACTGGAGGGCCACGACAGTCAGAGTCTTCTGTATGGACTTACTACTGCTCCTGCACAGCCATCTGCTGCAAATGCCTCCGAGAGGTCTCGCAATCCAGTGGAACATTTATTCCACGGCCTGGACTCTGCGGTTCACGCCCCGCTACAGCAGTTGCTTGACCAACTGGACTTATTCATGTGGTATTCGTCGCAAGAGGATGACCCAACGACTGCCCAAGAATGGCCGACGATTCTATCGCAGCTGAACGACAACCTCAATCAGGCTATTTGTTTCGTCGCTCTGGAAGATGTTATTGCGGCGGTTCGGTATCGGGCAGAAACTCGTATGAGTACCAACCGGCTGGATATGGCACTCTCGCGTTTTGCAGCATATTTTCTGTTGCGTGGTCATGCAGGCCAGCCCATGGCTCTACCGCACATGCTTCAGTCAAGTATGTATTCAGTGTGCGATTTTGGCAAGGCAGTACAGAAACCGCAGCCAGCTCCTCCGCAGACCTTCATGCTATGGACTAGGCCCTCTAGTGCCTCTTCTATATGCAAGCATAGCATTGCCGATGACCCTCAGGTGTGTGTGAAGCGGAGGCCGCTCCATCCATCCCCGACATGCAGGACGACTCATGCATGGCCCCATGCTGCACGCTCATGCTACCACTATGGTCCGTTTCGTGCCTCAGGGAGTCTACTCGTGGGACCTACACTGGTCTCGGTCTCAACACACAACCGTTACCAGCATCATGATACCTTCTGTCGTGCTGTACTCAGGTCTTCGCTTTTTGAATCACTTGAGCCGGCGCGGGGGACAACCAACAGACCACGACCGGCGCCTTCTGGCCAAATCCCTACAGTGCAGCATGACGTATGTGCTACTCATCGATGCTTCGCCGGATGCCTGCAGTTGTCAGCTTCACCTGCATGCAGCTTGCGGTGTTATCGTTGGAACAAGCCATCATGGCCCACAGTAGGCATGTCTGTCCTGTGTGACCTGTGCTTCTGTGACTCCTGGAGACAACCAGACCATATGACGGCACATTCTCCATGGATACAGTTGGCATCTTCGGTGCATGATATACGTGTACTTTGGCTGGCCTTCTTGTCGCCCCGTGCAGCATTTGCAAACTCCGTGGACGAGGCGGGATCTCGATCTGCTTACGCTATGCAGCTTCATTCCTATGCCAGCTCCGTCCTCTCACAGAGGACATGCCCATATGTTTGTGATGTTTTCGCGACGGCAAGGGACTCAGCTACGTTCTTGAACAAACCCAGTGCAACAACTGACCTCACCGGAAGGTCGTACCTGTGTTTATTCAGTATTTCCTCGCGGCAATTATCCGAGAGGCAGTCCTGGCTTTGGGCATTCATATTGGACAGTATACATCGAGCATCGCTCAGAATGCCCGCGACCATGATCAGGATTGCCTCGGCCACCCACTGTTGCACGGACTGTATCAGGCTATGCGGGCCACCAGCCTGTAGGCACGCAGTGGACCTGTTGTCCCCTCGTATGTTCCAGGATGCTTACCATGATATGCCAGGTTGGACCACAGCTCATCCTGCCTCTGATGTACACTTTTGCAGCCTGCACACTGCAATGACCCGGGGAAGGCTCGACCTGTCCTCACGTGTACCCTCCGAAAGCCTCTGCGGTCTAGCAACAGATTCATGTCGATCACGGCCCCTGGCCCACACCCTGTGCTTGCTCGCCCTACTGTACTGCTGTCCATTGCTCACTGCCCAGGTCTGTGGCAAGCCGATTCTATCAGCCGATACCAGCAGGCTCGACTGCTTCAGCATTCACAATGGTCAGATGCGACTCGCGGTGTGCAAGCCCTTGCACCTATACGTTCCGACTTGCATGTTGCTGTCTGCATTTGGGATTACAGCTGTTGCTCCGGCCAGTATGTACACAATCAGGCCCTACAACGATATTGTCGATTCCTGCATTCTGTGATATGTGTCATTTCGGAACACAGATGGTGGTGCTGGCCATACTTATTCCGAGTAGCCTTAACGAGCAGAGTTGAACCATTTTGCGTGGTGCTTGCAAGCATGGGGAGAGATTCTCGCAGCGCCCCGAAGCCTCATGACTCTGCCGACACGGTGGAACCTATGGCGAAGCGGGCTAAGGTCAGAGATGCACTGCCAAGACGTCGACCCATGCAGGACTCCGACCAGCATAATCAGACTCCCTCTTCGCCGATGACTCGCACCACTGCTGGTGCCTCTGCCAGTGCATCAGCTGGTGAGCTCAGGCCACGTGAACCTTTGCCTCGACATCGGCAGCTACAAGCCAAGTCAAAGACCAGCAAACCTGCCGATAGCCCAAGGAATGCGGCCGTGGCACGCACACCAAACAATGACCCGACAGCTCGTGGACCAGTTGCATCCAGTATAGTGGTCAGTGAATTCTCGGACGGGGTCCTTATTAAACAAACCGGACTTCGGGCTCGAAGCCCATCCTCTACTCCAGGGACAGGAAGCTCAAGAAGACCTCCTACGCCACCAAGGTGTCTACGTGAAACTGCTCATGGTATATCGGTCAGTACTCAGACAAGGCGACCCAAAATGGTGAACAAGGCGGTGCAGGTGGGCAAATGCGGTCTCAAAGCCCAGTCCAAAGCTCGTCCCCGAAGGCTAGATACAAATGCTACGGAAAACCCGGAGGAGGCTCCTGCTTCTGGTCCAAAGGACACTCGTGCCGAACATGATGATCTTCGCCGTCAAGCCGCTGATGCAGTGCTGACTACAGCCCCCTGGAAAAGACGCCAAAAAGCCAGAGCAGGTACCCGCGAGCCTGCCACGGATGGTGTTTCCGAGGGATCTGCTCGACCGACCACAACCTCAGCAAACCCTGTGGCCAGTATGACTCCTCTTCCGACTACGACAACCTCGCGCCAGGGTGAAGCCACTGGGAAGAATGCTGCAGCATCGAGTACTCCGAGCAAGCCCCTGAGCAAGGTCCCATACACAGCTGCTGGTGCCGACCCACAGGAGGAAATCATGGAGCTCCGCTTCGATCAACTTCAGGAGATGCAAAGATCCGCAGCCAGCAGGAGAAACAGTGTTATACAGCGTGCACGCATACAGCAGCAGCAGAATGCATCTTCGAGTACAGATGTTGCGGATGCTTCGCTATCACATGCACCTACGACGGTCTCAAATGCCTCCTCTGCATATATGAAAAAGCGTCCACCGTATGCAGCCCTCAGCTGTCTCGCATGCTTTATTCTGTGCGGCTACATTGCACCTGTGACAGGTCTGTACATGGTCCTCCTTATGTATTGGTGGACCTTTGCTGGCATCGTGCCAGCCCGGTCAGCTCCCCTGGCAATCGTTGCTCGATGTCTGCGTGGTGCCTACAAAATGCAGTGTCCTCTGATCCACATCTTTCTGTCAGGCCCGGTGATCTTATGGATGGTTATATATCTGCTGCAAGAGTTCTGGTCTCAGATTCACTCCTGCCTTGCAGAGATTTGTTCGTACCTGCTACAACAGCCACTACGATCACAATGGCGGAACGTATGCGATCAGGCCCCTGCTGTTGCCACAGTGCTTTTGTGTGGTACATTTGTTGCCTGGCATGCTATCCGACACACCTGTCAATGGAGTACATACTTTGTGCAAACTGCCTTCTCTTGGATGCGATACCTGCACCCTTGGTGCTGCTATGCATGTGGATGCCTCTATTCATACACGAGAGTCTACATCAGGTTACTCGGTACCACTACACTCCGACACACCCCCCCACCAGTTCGCTATTGCCGCCCCGGTCCCAAGTCCGGGGGCCCCTGGGGACTATGGATGCTCATCCTACTGTCTCAACTTCTTAGAGTCTCAGGGGTAGAAGCGAGGGTTGGAGCACCTTCGGTGGGTGCTCCGGGAGCCGCGCAAACGGTGCTCCCCGGTCGCCATCAGGCGAAGCTACACCGACAACGCAAAGAACAAGGAGACTTTATCGTCAAACGTAGTTTTCTCAGAGCACAACGTCGATTGCAACAGCATGGGACCACATGGTATCGCAATCGCTTATACACACACCACGATGAGCTAAAACCTATACCGCTCCGTTCCGGTCCACAGCCGAATGATCCCAATCAAGCTCGGTGTGCCCGGCCTCGCACTGCTGTGCCAAACCTGCCATCCTGGCCACTTCAGCAGCCCGCACAATCTGTTACTCCCATACAGTCCAGTGATGTTGGCGTGGTTACTCTTAATGTTGGCGGCTTGAGCAAGGAAGGATATGACGAATTGGCACAATGGTTGAATCAACCATCTACACTTCGCAATGTTCAGATTGTATTCTTGCAGGAGACCTGGAGAAGTGCATCTGAATTCTCCACGCAGAATTGGCACTGGATCCTGTCAGGTGCCGGTCAAACTGCCAAGGCCAATAATGGCAGTGGTGTAGCTGTACTGATCAACAACAAGCTTGCCTCATCGTCACACATTCGCTACCAAGAATGGCTCCCAGGCCGTCTTCTCGAGGTTCGCATTACGGAGGCCAAGCGACGTCCTCTTCTGCACCGACCCATCACCCTTGTGTGCGCGTATCAACACTCCAGAATCTCTCACAGTCCTGAGGTGTACGCTAAACGGCTAAGGTTCTGGGAGAAGCTCCAAAAATGCCTGGATGCAGTGCCGACCCGGCACACCCTGATCTTTGGTGGTGATATCAATACGGGTATCTCCCCGATGTCGAGGCTCGTCGGCAAAGGTGCTCAAGTCAGTACCAACCCTGCTCAGGACCAATCCGAATGGCAGGACATTGTACAACAGCACCGTCTTTGTCTTCTGAACACCTGGGGATCGCCGGCCAAAACTGCTACATATGTGGGTGCGGAATATTCTACACTGATTGACTTCCTGGGTGTTAGAGAGAGAGATTCCGGGCATCGCGCCAAACTATCCAGACCACAATCACAGATTCACTTGTTTTCTTGGCGGTCTGGGGCCCGACACCTGCCTGTGTATTCGGTTATCACTCTCAAGAATCCGTATCATCAAGCAGTGACATCCTCGACACAGTCCCACACAGCCCGTATGGACCATCTAGGCATGGCTCACACACTGCTGCACGATCCTCAGCAAGTAGAGCAATTGCGCAGTGTTGTCAGAAACCGGCTGACTTGTGCTTTACAGGACCAGCCCGTGGATGCAATTATGCACCCTATGCACATTGACGCCATCCTGCGACACGGATCCCAGGAACTCTTCCCGGGCACACGCCTCGGCTCTCGTCCGACGGAAGTATGGGATAACGAACAGACTAAGCTCTCGCTGAAACATGTTTGGCAGGCACGTGCGCAGCTTCGCCGACATACCCTTGGGCCTCCACTTCGTGTTGCCTTTCATTTATGGCGTGCTCATTGGCGACTTGTCAAAGCCCGCAAAGCGCTGCATTCGCAGTCCAACAAAGCGCGACGTGATAAATGGGACCAACAGCTTACCGAGGCGGAGGAGGCCTATCACAAGCATGACTCTCATTCTTTCTTTGCTATTGTGCGTAGACTTGCACCACGTCGTCCACGACAGCGCATTATGATGCGTAACAAGGATGGCACACTATGCACACCACAGGAAGAAATTGGGCTGATTCATGACTACTGGCGCGGTGTATTTGATGTTCCGACACTCCCTAAATGCTCCGGCTATCTGTGGCATGGACTCAACATTACCACAAAGGAGGTGGAAATGGCCATCAGCAAATTATCAATGCGTAAAGCCTCGGCCCCAACCTCGGCTCCGCTCTGCAGCTGGCGTGCTTGTGCTCCTGACATTGCTCCTCTTATACAGGAATATTTGGCACAGCATTGGGGTGAAGGAGAACATGCAGGTGACGAGGACATTGCTAGGTCCTGGCTAGTCTTTCTGGGCAAGCCCAATAAACCCAGCAGCAAGCCCGAAAACCTTCGACCTATTGCTCTACAACCGGCTCCTGCCAAAATCATGGCCCTCCTTTTACGCTGGCGACTGCAACCGTATGTGGAGCAGCTGCTCCACCAATGTCCACAGTATGCATACACCAGAGGAAGAACCACTACGGATGCAATATCCCGTATTGCCCAACACTGTGATTCTGTTCGAGCCAAAGTCAAACAGCAGACACTTTCACTCCATGAACGACGACAGGGCGCTGTACGAACCGTATGTACTGGTGGTGCTCAGCTGACTGTTGATTGCTCCAAAGCTTTTGACAGTTTACCTCGTTGCACTATGATGACCATGTTAACATGGGCTGGTGTACCACCCGACTTGGCCACTGCTATCATACAGGTCCATCAGGCTGGCACTTATCGTCATGGAAACGTGGACGACCCTAAATCCTGGATGGATATTGACAGTGCTCAAGGCGTGAGGCAAGGCTGTATGCTTGCCCCATGTTTGTGGCTATTGTTCGTAACATACCTCTTCCATCACCTGGACACGACAATGGGAGGAGCTGATTCATGGACATGCCAGCACTCCACTGCCTTCGCCGATGATCTTCACTTCAAGTGGGATCTTGACGATCCCAAAGCCCTGGATCGGATGAAGATGGAGGTCGCCACGGTACTCTCAGTGCTCAAGTCCTTTGGTCTTCAGATCAGCGCAGAAAAATCCACCATGTTGATCGAGATCCGCGGAACAGCAGCTGATGTTTGGTTGTCCAAGAACGTCTACAAAGATGCTGAGAACAACAAACACTTTCGTTATGACACGTTTGCCAAGCTCTCTATCCCGCTTGGTACCCAATTCAAGTATCTTGGGGTCATATTATCCTATCGCAACTACGAGCTGGCCAGTGTCAAACATCGTGTACAACAGGCTGCCATACACCATTCCCGTCTTCGTCGCATTCTGCAAGGACGCGGGGGCATCAGCCGGCATCAACGACTTCGACTCTGGCGCATCTGCATTCAGACAAGCCAGCTCTACGGACTCGAGGCCACAGGTGTCACGGAGGCAGGGATCAAATTACTACATGTTCAAATGCTTCGTCACCTAAGGGCCATTACAGGTCGACCCAGGCATCTTGATCGCAGCACTGATCAGGAATTGTTGGACAGTCTCAAAATGGCATCGGTCAGGCAGATGCTATCTCAACGACTTCAGTCGGCAAATACCCGTCTTTGCTCCAACACTGATCTGCCATGCTACGACAAAGACAATATACTGCGACGTATTCAGGCCTTACAAGCAGGTATTGACCAACCGATCTGCACACAGCGGGTCTCTACCGCCTTGACTACACCTGTACAGCAGACTCCGCATGATGATGTTACGCCGCAGGAGCAGAAAGTGCGACTCCAGGAACTACCCGCTGACACCAAGCAATTTCGATGTCAGGTATGCGGTCAGTCTTTTCCGTCTTTACATTTGGTGAAGACCCATGAAGGAAAAGCCCACAAGATCTTGGCACCGAAACGGGAACTGCCCCAGGATCGCTCCGTCTACTCCATCAACGGACTTCCGCAATGCCGTTTTTGTGGCTACAAATTCACGAAATGGAGTGGCCTCCAAAGACACATACAGCGGAACGGCTGCCCGATTCTTCGCCATGAAGATCCCGCCACCTTTGCCGCAACCGCGCCCGCGACTACAAACAAGGCTGAAGATCCTCTTCGTACTACACAACATGCATGGGTGGCTGACTCGACCATTGCCACCACCATGCCTTCAACTGGAGATCAACCTTTGGTCCAAGATGCGCAGCTACAGCAGGATGCCAGCAAGTACACGTGGACCAAGGTGCTTCACATGTGGCGTACGAAACATGACTTCACGAATGTGTGTGTGTTCTGTGGTCAATGGGCAGTGGATGCCAGTGCTCTCAAACAGCATTATGCCAAGCAGCATCAGGCATTAACCAATCCGTGGATCGCAGCATATCGGGCCGAGTGTAAGCAGCTAGCTAAAGTTGCCGTATCTAAGTGCCGCTTCTGTGGTACCACCACCACGGATGCTCGTCAGCATGCCCACAAATGCATACATGTTTTTCAGGCCTACATGCTTACCAGCCACGTCTCAGGTCGAAATGGAGGACATGCAGGACTTCGATGCCGAAAGCCAGATCCAGAGCCTCCTCGGGGGCCTCTCCTCAGTAGTGGACCTCAAACCACTTCTGAATCCAACGCCAACACCGGCGCGCAATCAGTCCCATCTGACCAACAAGCGTCCGAGGGCGGAACAGTGGACTCGAGGCACCGGGAGCAAGGGCGGCGGCAAGGGCAAAGGATGGCCTCCAACGGTACTTTATCACAGGAGGATCTTCAACAGCTCCTCAGGCAGATCGTCGTCCTTCTCCTACGCCAAGGCGACCAACTCAATCGGCTACAGACGGATACCGGATACTATTTGGTCTTTCAAGTCCCGGGCGATGCCACCATGGTACCAGTTCTGATTGCGGGAGCGCTCGAATGGCGCAATCAGAAGAAGGCCGACCCGACCAAGCTCACCATGTCTCTTCGCATAGCCCTCATCGGACTCTTCCTCAAGGAGCTTCAGATGCGTCTGGAAAAGATCCGGGCCAACGACCAACTTCAGGAGAAGCTCAAGGAGCAAGGCCTGATGACGGACGAAGGTGCTTGGACATATCGCCAATGGTGTCCAAAGAACAAAGCACTTCAGCTACAGCTCAGCAGGGACTGAACAATCAGGACCACATCACACGTTTTCAGGCGACCAAAGCCTTGGAAGAAGGACAGATGGGTCCCACCCTTCCATTCCTTCTGGACATCTCGCTCAAGCCGAGTGCGTGCCGTCTACACCAGAGTATGAGGGCATTGGTGGACTGCTCGGCCATGGAAGCATTCGGCGCACGTATTCGACCCCAACGAGCCAAGCGATCTCAACTCCAGGATCAGCTCCAGGAGTGGCTGCGAGGCAGGTTCTATCATGTCGGTTGCACAATCCACACAATATCTGTTATGCCAACTCTTTCTTCATTGCCCTTGCATGGCTATTTGGTGAGGTCTCGATCTCTGAACATGCCCAGGCTCTATTTCAGATCTTGTGTTTTATCTGCCAGCATGGTCTCAAATTGCTGTGTCTGCCTGATCACACGGCTTTTCAGGCATTGATTCAGGAATGGCCACATTTTGACCGACAGCAGGATGTGGCAGAGTTTGCGCAACATGTCCTCGATCGTACATGGCCGGTTCAGAATGTGCTTCCAATGAGTACTTGGCAGTCTCGTGACGAATCAGGATTCTCAACCGATGAAGGTCAGCACCTCATTATGCTTCCGATGCCCTCTCGCGGTTCAAACTCTGAGATTCAGCTGTCAGGGCTGATACAAGCCTGGGCTCAGCAGTCTCCTGCACCAGGGCTGTGGCCACTGCCTCGGTTTGTGTGCCTGCAGCTTCTTCGCTTTTATACGGTTGGTGCCAGAGTTCGCAAAGACCAAAGAGCAGTAACGATTCCGCTTCAGGTACGCTTACCAGTATTTCAAACAGAGATTGGACCGCGACCAGCTTGGCGTATGTATAGACTCCGAGCCCTTATTGGGCATCACGGCTCCACTCCGCGCTCAGGTCACTACAGAACGCTGCTGATTCACTGGGAGTCCACCCAGGAAGATCCCCAGTTGTATTACACAGATGATTCCTGTATGGCGCGTCGCCCCACAAATGCACAACTCCGTGTGTTGATGACTGAAGTCTACTTGATCTTCCTGGAGTGCGTGGGGTATGTCAGCTCACTGTAGATGCGGTAAAACAACCACTCGGGTGCTGCACTGTACATGCTTGCATGCCTTGCATTATATCAGTGCCCTCTTCATTCGCCGCCCTTTTCCGGCTTTTCATGCATATGCCAGCTTTGAGCGTGTGTGCAGGTCATTATGCTTATCTTTTCTACATGGCGACTCACACTTTGGTGGGAACACCGACGGATTCAGCTGCAGTTCCAAGCCTAGATGCTGCCTGTATGCCCTACAATTTACTACATGACGTGCCTTTCGGTATTTATCAGTCCAGACAGCGTGCCCAGTGGATGGATGCCAGAGGCACCTACAATTCACTTGATGATGTACCACACTGTCTTCAGAACCGATGCACGACATCCGATTTTCAGGCACGTATGGCATCCAGCAGTGGTTCACATGGCACACCTGCGCAGCTATTGGTCCTGGTTCCGGCAACATCTGATTCTCTGGACGATGTACCACATTGTCTTCGAGACCGAGGAAGTGAACCTATCTCATGTATCACGATGGATATGCTACATACCTGGGCCGATCAGCCTGCCTCTCAACTTCTTACTCCCCACCACCTTGCTCAATTTTTGCATCGATGGGGTTTTTCAGCCGTGGATATTGTTGAATGGGGCATTTATTACTACTTTGAGCAGGCTCCATGTACAGATGCAGAGTGGAAACAGGTGCTTCTTCAGCAGCTACACCGCAATGTTTATCAGCTTTCCATGTCTGGTGCCATATGCTATTTCAAACAGCTGCTAGTGGGTGCCCATCGGGAGGACTTTTATGAGGAGCTTTACACGGTGGCATGCCGTCGCATTCAGCTGGATGATCCTACTACTACTATGACCACTGTTCTTCACTGGCTATATATACTGGCCACGTATGGTACCTTGGTCTGATGCCTCTACAGCTGTTTCTTTGACTGCATGGCCTTCACAGTCTGGTGGGCCATGCTATCTATCAGCTTCCGATCCACTGCTCTTCAATCTTCTGTATGGTGCCTCTGATTTCGATGGTGTTGCTTCATCAACGGTCTATTTACAGCATGGGACTTCTTTGTACATGTACATACGGTCGAGTAGTCCAGTCCGTCTGGTTAGACCAATGCCATGTGTACAAAGGTCTAGTAGTCCAGTTCGTCTGGTTAGACCACGGTGTATATACGATCGAGTAGTCCAGTTCGTCTGGTTAGATCGATGCCATGTGTACAAAGGTCTAGTAGTCCAGTACGTCTGGTCAGACCGATGTGTATATACGATCGAGTAGTCCAGCACGTCTGGTTAGATCGATGACTTGTGCTCTGTCTCACCTTTGTTAATGCTGACGTTGGTTTTTAAAACCACTCCTGCAGTGTTTGCCCACATGTGGCTAGCCCGGTGGGATTCACTGCTTTTGCTCACTCTGAGCCGATGCCACTGTGCATTGTAGCGTAGCGCGAGACTGCTGGACAGTTTGCGTCATACAAAGTACAAAGTACACTTTTAGCAGAGCTAGAGAGATTCCCAGGCCGGGAGCGCCGGGCCCTTTGCGCAGCGAATCACGCCCAGCGGGCCTTAAAGGCCTCCGCGGAGCAGACGCAGCACGAGTTCGCAGCGCGAACAGCCTAGTTGCCTTCATGGCACAGTGTTGCCACTCCCTATCTCAGCGCGGCGTTTGCTGGTCCATAGAAAATCCAGCTCGTAGTCTCCTCTGGAGGATGCCCTGCCTCAGAGAGGCCTTGCAGTCAGCCCACAGAGTGGAGTTTGACGCGTGCATGTTCGGAAGCATGCGCCGCAAGCGTACTGCAATCCTCTCAAACCTGGATTGGTTCTCCGGTCTAAGCAGGGACTGCGACGGAGCCCACAAACACCTGCCCTGGGGCAGAGCCTCAGTGGATGGTTCCACAGTGTGGTCTACCTCTTTAGAAAGCGCTTACACCACTCAGCTGAGCTCGGTATGGGTCTCCCTCGCGGCAGACCAATGCGCAGCAGCACTCCAGGCAGCGCCTCTCAGCCGCAAGCGTCTGCGACGCCTGCCAGACTTCAGTGACAAAGTCACTCTCCAAGGCCCCGCAGCGCGGTGCTTTCGAGGCTGGAAGACTCCCCAGAAGCTACCACAATCGTGGTCTTGCTTCCCAAAAGGCTCTAGGCTCATCCAGTGGATCGAAGCCTCCCAGAAAGCAATCGTCGCCATCCCGCTGCAGCCACTGCACTGGGTGCGCAGAGCGCATCTCATAGATCACCCAGCCAGGGACATTGAGGCAGTGCCTTTATCCCTCAAGCGCGCCATCTCTGCCGAAGTGCATGAAGACACTGTCCTGCTGGCCAAGCGCCGCACATTGGCATCGATGCAGATCTCGAGAACTTGCACAGAGTGTCAAGCCCTCGAGGCCGGGGCACGTTCTTCGATTGACGCTCAGGTGAACAGCGTCACCAAGCCTAAGCAGACAGTGGCTTTAGCAAAGCTTCTGAGTGAAATCGACTTCCCAGACAGGACATTGGCCAAGCAGGTGCGGGAAGGTTTTCCCCTGCTTGGCTGGATACAACCCAGTGGGCTGTGGCCAGTGCAGATCCTGCCTCCTTCTCTAGATGAGAAATCAATACTGGAAAACGCCCATAGTATAGGTATGCGCGGCATTCGCAGCGCGCTGCGCCCCTCGCAGGACGGGGTCTCGGACAAGGTCTGGGAAAGCACAATAGAGGAAGGCCAGCAGGGCTGGCTCTCTTTGGAAGACTTTTCGCCAGCAAAACTGCACGAGACGATAGTATCGTCTCGCTTCGGCGTTGTGCAAAAGGGCAAAGTGCGCCCCATTGATAATTTTAAGAGCAGCTTTATCAACAGCTGCTGCGGGACTACAGAGAAGGTCCAAGTCGACAGCATCGACGAGCTCCTCGCCGTGTGCCTCGAGTGGCTGCGCCAGGGTGTGCCCGCAGAGCAGGCCCACCGCATCGTAGGTAGGACCTGGGACCTCAAGAGTGCCTACAAGCAGCTTGCAGTGCAGGCTGCACACAAGAAATTTGCGTGCATCGTCATGGTGGACCCACAGAGTGGGAAGGTTAAAATCGCCCACCTACACAGCATGCCTTTCGGCGCAGTGGCCGCCGTGCACGCCTTCCTCCGCTGCAGCGAAGCGCTGAAAGCCATCGGCCGCGAGAAGCTTGCTTTGGTGATGACGAGCTTCTTCGATGACTTCACAGTTCTTACGCGCAGAGCGGACTCGAAGCTCGTCACTTTGGCAGTGTCCAACCTTTTTAACAAGCTGGGCTGGCAAGTGGCCACAGAGCCCAAGAAGAACGCCGACTTCAGCGAAGTCTTCGACGTGCTAGGCGTGCGAGTCGACTTGTCTAAGCAGCACCTTGGTCTCCGTCAGCAACAAGCCGACCCGTGCAGCAGAGCTGGGGATGGTCCTCGCGGCAGCATGTCCCCCCTGGAAGCGCAGAGCCTGCGCGGCAGGCTCATCTTCGCTGAGCAGCAAGCCTGGGGCCGCAACACCCGCATGGCAGTGATCTGCGTCGGCGACGTCCTTGGGGATGGACCAGAGCAAGTCCCCCTCACCGAGCAGCAGTGCCAAGCCATGGCGTTCCTGCTGCAACGAGTCGTGCACGGACCGCCTAGGACAGTGTCCATCCATGCGCGCAGGAAGGTGCACCTGTATATCGACGGGGCCTGCGAGTGGGAGACCCCGCGACTGGTGCCCAAGTGTGGCCTCGGAGCAGTGCTCATTGGAGAAGGCATCGCCTTCACCTGGGGGCTGCAGATCAGCAGCCAGGTTGCAGCCCAGTGGGTTGCCAGGGCACAGAAACAGCAGTTGGTCTATGAGTGCGAGCTGTTGCCTTATTTGCTTAGCCTTCAGCTGTGGGCAAAGCATATAGCAGGCAGTGACCTGTTCGTCTGGATAGACAACGACGCAGCGCGTACTTCCTTGCACAAGGCCTTCACACGGAAGGTAGAAGGCGCAGCGATAGTCTCG